CCCATGCCCTCCCATGTTGCGCACAGTAGCAGGTACTGCCCCCCTCTCCGCGTGCCCCCCAGACAAGCCACGGCTCCGTCCTGTGCCCCACTCTGCCCTGGCTGGGCAGCCACAGCCCCACTCCCTCCCTCACTGCGGGGACCTTGATCTGCCACCCCGTGCCCTTTCCCTCCCCTTCCACCACAACAGACTTACCAGCTGCACACAGCTCTTCAAGTTGCTGGGCTGTGCTCCTCGCCGCCTACCTGCTGTGCTGCTGCTGCACGCCTGCACAGGCATTTGTTAGCCAAATTATCAGCCACATCAGGCCAGTTTCCGATACAGTACATTTTCTTTATATCGGTGCCGATCTGATATCGGACCATTGTATTGGTGCACCTCTAGCTTTCACTTAAATAGAATTAGTAAAAATTAAGTAACTAAAAAAAAATCAAGTGGCTGGTGTCTGTCTTTTTGCATTTGTCAGTATTATAAATGTTTTGTTTGTAATAATGAAGACTGCTTAATGAAGTGCAAGGTTAGAGATTGTGAAGCGTCTGCTTTGCGGTCACCAGGCGCTGGAAGTACAGCTTGTTGGAGCAGACTCAAGTAATAGAGTCCACTGGAGCATGGCAATTACTGTGCTCCAGCAGACTCCTGCGTCACGTGTATCAGCATCCCCACGCTGTAAAAATGGCAGCGAGGGCACTTTAATGAAAGCTCACTCAATGAGCTTTAGTTAAAGCGCCCCCACCACCATATTTCAGCGTGGGGATGCTGATGCACGTGATGCCTGGGCTGCTTTAATTAGAGCAGCTCTCAGAGCCGCTCTAATTAAAGCACTGCGCCTTCCCCCTCTTCACTCCCAGAGCACGTGTATAAATGACCTGAATGTTAGTGCTGTAGAAGCTAGTAAGAGGTGACCTAGAGCTCTCCATTTTAGCATTTAGCATCTGTTGATGTTAAAAACTTAAAGGAGGCAGAAGAGAAAAATGAAGTTTTCAGCCTGAAAGGGAAGCTGTATCTGGGTTTGAACACACAGAATATATTTTCACCAGGGTAAAATCAAGAGAGTAGACAGAAGACAAATGTAATGTACACAAAGCCAATTCAAATTCTGGGGTAAAACTTCATCTCTTTAAATTGTGCTCTTGCACGGGTGAATCTCCATAGCTTATTCCCACTGTAGGCATTTCCTCAAGGCAAGCAGGATGGTTCTTGCTTCCCATATCACCTACTGGGAAGGCACTGTAATAGCTACTTACTGTTTGCAGCTTCCCTTATGTATGTGTCTGCTGATCTGCTTCATATCCTGGGATAGTTTACATCAGGGTACAAATCTAAGTTATGCTAACATAAGTGTCTTATGTGCCCAGGCCTCTCAATTCTTATATTCCTCATACAACTTACAGAACTGATTTGTATTTTTTGGCTTTGTGTTATATGGATGAGTAATTAAATAATTACTACATAACATCCCGATTTAAAAAAAAAAAAAAAAAAGTAAGTCCTTCCATTAAATCCATCACCCAAAAAAATTATTTTCCTAGAAGCTCTATCTATAGTAACTAAGCTTTTTTTTTTGTAGATAACTACATGATGCAGAAGATGATACGTTTTAATTTTTTTAAACTTATTTTCAGAACTTTTCAAATACATGCACCAAATGAGAGGAATACAGAAGGATACATCACGTCATCTATTAAGAACATAGGTATAAATCGTAACTTAATCTAGGCAAAAGCTTTCCTAAGTTATCAATGATTCCTGTCCAACACACCTTGAAGGGCTGATGTTCAGAGGGAAGGTGCTCGATGCTTTCTGATAATCAGCCCTCAAATGTGTCTCAAATCAGGCACCTAAAAATGAAAGCACCCCCAAAATCATCAGTAACTTATGAAAGTCTTGCTCTGTGTCCTTAACTGAAATGTTCTTCTCTCCCTTCTCTTTACCTTTATTTCTCACTAGCATCTTGCTGCTTTCCTGGAATGTACCTGCTGCATTCTGGCAATGGAAGGGAAGGAGGTTAAGAATTAAAGCAATGGTTCTCCAGCTTTCTCGCATTGTGGACCAATTCATAAAGCATAGATCCTTCTTTAGTCCACCCCTCCCCTCTCCCTCATTTTTCCACTGTTCAAGCTCGGGCTGCCAACAAGTCTTCACTGGTTTATAGTGTGATGGTAAACCTGAACAGCTTTGGGTGTTTTTAGTTAGAACCTGTCTTTCATTGATCCGCTTTGTCACCATTGTCTGCAACTAAGGATGCATTTTGAGTTGTATTGGAGGCTTAGCTTATCGGGGAAGTCAGATCCTTGCCGTGCACATCTGCTCATTCCTCCTACTGGGTCTGTTGGGATGCAAGTAGGCATCTATCAAGATGAAATGCCACAGTATGGGATCTGAGGTGACCATACAATCTTTTTTTAAGAGGCGCAGCAGCCACAGGACCGCAAGGTAAAGCAAGACCGCCACTGTGATCCACATGCTATAGAACCACTGACCTAGAAAATCAACTTTGGGCAATACCAGTGTTCCCATATCACAGCAAATTAAGTAAATGTAGCGCTGACCACTGATTTATACAAATGAGTTTTCAGTATGGTAACAAAGTATATTGAAAGTTGCAGGTATTAGAAATTTTCCATTTTCTGCCTTTGGAAATGGGAGAACTAGGCAAAACCATTGTTTATAAATGTTTTGTCTGTCATATTCTTTTTTCTTATCATGGACATTATTCACTTATGTTTTTTTCTTTCATTCTGTGTCTGTGAAGCTTCTCTGCCTTGCTCTAAATCAGCAGTTTTCATGCAGCTTCCTCATCAAGGTACTCTCTACTTTCATCCTATTTGCACGAGATACTGCTTGATCTGCATTAGAGTTGGGCTCATGGCATGAGAAGTCATTTACTAATCTCTTTAAACACAGGAATGACTCCAGAGTACTTGTAAGTAAGTGCCAATCTGTTGCATTTCTTGTCAAGTAAAGAGCAAATGATAATATTTAGAATGCAGCAAGTGGGATTGCAAGCCCCATCCTTACGAGGGAAGGCAGTTTTGAGAATGGAGAAGTTGGCACCTTGATATCAAAGGGCAAGCTATGAAGGTATTCTGTTGCAGCTGCCAGGCAAAGAATAGAGGGGGAGAAATGTTTCATTTGAATTAGTAGGCAATCAGTTTTGACTGTTAATAATTAAAGGACTTGGGTTGCCTTTTTTGAAAGAGTCGTTTTACAACTTCAGCTCATGCATAGAGAAATACAGAAGAAATGCAGAGAATGGTTTTGGGGTGGTTGTTTTTTTGTCTCGGCCATTTGGGCTGCTTCCTCATTTTCACTGTATTTGGTGAATCTGAACTGTGGAGTTTCTGCAATTCTTTATGTGAAGTGGAAGTATGAAATAAACCACAACTGACATAAAGAATCAAATGCATTTACTTGAGTTTAGAAATAGCCCTATAACGTTGTAAAATAGTGGGGCTGATTCTGCACTCACGCGCGAAAATGAGAGAATCCGCTGTGTCTAGTCAGAACAAGAGGCCGGTTTCCCCACTGTGAAACAGAAAACAGTAGGAGGTCTGTGGTTTGTAGTAAAAATGGTTTTACAACTTTTTATTCAGTCAGTAAATTGTCACTTGGTTTTGCCTTCCATAATCGGGTAACAATATAATCTGAAGCTCTATTAACATATCGTTTTCCCCCACTTGTTCTAGTTTTTGCTTTAGGCCACACTTTAGCTGCTAACATTACAATCATTCTCTGCGCAGCGTTCATTCCAGTGCTGACCACTTACCATGATTGCTCTTGAGAGTACTTTATGAACATACCATACTTGATGCATTCATTTTGCTACAGAAATAACGAGGCAGAAACTCCGTTACACCAAGACATTTGTACGGGAACGATTTTTCAGTCAAAATAAACTGGCTTCAGTATAAAATTAGTCATTGACTAGAGTCTGTTTGCATTGAAATGATGTTTCAGCTCTGGTGATTTTGTCTTAGGGTGTTAGCAATAATGACTCGTAATCCGTGGTCTCTTCTGTGTGGACCATATTCAGAAGTGCTTGCCTTAAGGGTTGTATTGTTCTGGCATAAAACGTTAAGCATTTACCATTAACTTATTGCAGCTGAAAGAATGTAGAGAGGATATAATGCCGCTTAGAAAAGCTTATACATTTGAACTTAAATCCTATTGATGGTTTCATCCTGATACGCTACCCTCTGAGCCTTGTCCCTCCTTTGCACTGTGTGAGTGCAGTTCTAATAAAGGTTTTGAGACATTGAGTACTTGGCACAAACCACATAAGATGCATTGAAATTTCCTCTTCTAATAACCTTTCTTCTCGGGCACTCACCGTGGTCTTTAAAAGAAGTTGTGACTTACAAGAATTTAAGTAATGTTTTAATTGCTGTTTGTCATCACTCAAAAAAGCAGTTCATTCTTAAAGTGCATGTTCCTATCAATTCTACTTCTGGCGGGCATGTGCCCCAACCCAAGCCCATGAGATCCAGATTTTTTCACCTGTGCCCTGGATGCGATTTGTACCCCTGAGGCTGTAGTTGGAGGGGGTGGGGACTGTGTGCAGAAAGGGAGTGTGTGTGGTACCTTTCACATTTTATACATTAGTTCTGTAATGTTCACATCTGATTCATAGGCTTGCAAATATGAAGTGCTTTTTCCTTTTACAACAAAGGGAGGGGTCTGTTTCCCTTTCAGGCAGACCTGATACAGCACCAGTAACATTTTCAATCATCTTGTTTGACATGCTTTTGTTGACAGTATATGAAGTCTCTGGTTATTTCTGGCCAAGCTGAGAGATTGATTTTGAGTCCAGTTACTTCCTTGCTTGGGGGTGGTTATAGAGAAATTAGTATTTTATGAAAGGTGCTGGGGTGAAGTCATGAGTCTGTCACGCAGTACAGTACAACTAACAGCAATACAGATGTTTCTCAAGTTACCCCACCCCAGTACCTTGTCCCTAACCTGGAAGAGCTGCTTTGAAGAGGAATAAGGAGCATACTTCGCTCAAGACCCCTGGCCTCTGTTGACATTCCCTTAACCATTTTGATGCGTGCACCTTTCAGCAGTGAGCACTTGTCTGTAAGAACTGGACTGATGTCTTTCATTTCATGTGGGCTACCAAACAGGGTAGGAGTCATACCAGCCACATGTTATGGTAAGAAATGTTACCCAGTCCCCTGAGCCATCCATTCCCTGGGACTTGTCATGGCCCATTTTTATGCTGGGGGATTTTCAGCAACTCTTTGTACAACGAATAGACATTGAATGCAAAATAAGGAAGCTAAGCATGCAAGCTGAGGAAGTACGGGTTGGATGAATGGACTGTAAGGTGGATAGAAAACTGGTTGGATCGTCAGGCTTAAAGCGGGTAGCAATCAATGGCTCAATGTCTAGTTGGCAGTGGGTATCAAGTGGATTGCCCCAGGGGTCAGTCCTGGGGCCAGTTTTGTTTAGTGACCCGGAAGATGGGATGGGGTGGACCCTTAGTGCGTTTGTGGATGACATCGAGGTGGGAGGAGTAGTAGATATGCTGGAGAGCGAGGCTAAGATTTAGGGAGGCCTTGACAAATTGGAGGATTGGACCAAAAGAAATGTCATGAAGTTCCTTCCATTGGGACAAGTGCAAAGTCCTGCACTTAGGACAGAGCAATCCCATGCACCGGTACAGGCTGGGGGCTGACTGGCTGGGCAGCAGCTCTGCAGAAAAGGACCTGGGGGTTACAGTGGACAATATGCTGAATATGAGCCAGCAGTGTAGCCTCATTGCAAAGAAGGCTCACAGTGTACTGGGCTGCGTTAGTAGGAGGGTTGCCAGAAAATCGAGGGAAGTGATTATTCCACTCTATTTGGCACTGGTGAGGCCACATCTGAAGTACTGTGTCCAGTTTTGGGTCCCCCACTGGGGAAAGGATGTGGACAAATTGGAGAGTCCAGGAGGGCAATGAAAATGGTAAGGATGACTTGTGAGGAGAGACTGAGGGAACTGGGCTATTTAGTCTAGAGAAGAGAAGACCGAGGTGGGATTTAACTGTAGCCACTTGAAGGGCGGTTCCAAAGGGGATGGATCTGGACTGGTCTCAGTGGTGGCAGATGACAGAACAAGGAGCAACGGTCTCAATTTGCAGCAAGGGAAGTTTAGGTTAGAGTTTAGGGCAAACTTTCTCACTAGGAGGGTAATGAAGCCCTGGAACATGGTGCCCGGAGCGGTGGTGGAGTCTCCATCCTTGGAGGTTTTTAAGACCCCACTAGACAAAGCCTTGGCTGGGATGATCTAGTTGGGGATAGTTTTGCTTTGAGCAGGGAGTTGGATTAGATGATATGAGGTCCCTGCCAACTGTAAATTTGGATGATTCTGTGATTCTATATTTGGAATACAAATATGTATAACCTTTCAGCTCTGACCTTTAAAATGCAAATCAGACCAAATTTGTTGAATTCACTATGGTTTGCCTACTCCCTGTACTACACAGTACAGGCAACCCCTGCTTAACACTGTTTCACTTAGCGCTATTTCGCTATAACGCTCATTTGAAATTGATACCTGATTTCACTTAGCGCTCAGCGAGTTCTGTTTTAACGCTCGCGGTCGCCATCCTGGGTCATTAAAAACAATTGCATTCGCCCTCCTGGGTTGTCAGATACTTTTGGTTTCACTCAACGCTCATTTTTTCAGGAACCAATTAAGAGCGCTAAGCGGGGGTTGCCTGTACCTGATATGGAACATGATGCAGATGAGAAGTTACGATGTGCAGATCTGTGCACGATTAGCAGAGATCCTGGTTTCCTCTGAGTAAAATAAATAAATAAATCCTCCATTTTCTGATTTAAAAAAAGAACCCAAAATCCATATTTTTCTGTGATTATAAATAGATATATCTATATCCATAAGATTCTTTCAGGGGTGCCATGGAGCGGCCAAGCAATATTAGCACGGTTAAGTGTGGAAACACGTCCATGTAGTTTACAAGATAAGCCCGGAGATTTCAAATGGGAATTCATAGTGGTAAAACTATTCTGTGGTCTTTCTCTGAGGTCTTGGCAACAAAAGAATTGATCTAGTATTTTTCTGTAATTAAAAAAAAAAAAGCGACAACTAAGAGCTGGCATTTTTTGAGAGGTGCCTCAAGTCTAATAAGGGATTCCTCGAGTCTATCGAGGTTGAGAACCACTGTTAATCGGCTGCATAAACTTCTTTTTGCCTCAGCTGTTCACCGGCCCATGTAGTGCTGACCTACCTACCAGGTGAGTCCAGTGTTCCCGGGGACTAAAACTCAGCCTAATTCCATGCCCAAATTCTGCAGAGGATCTTTAACATTTCTGGTACTTATTGCTAAGAATTTGAGGGCAGAATTATTAGGAGTAATTTCATTGCAGCTGGGCAGTGTTGCTAAAAGCAGTGATTTTTGACTCTTGAAAATGCCTTTGTTACTATTTATATTTCAGTTTTGACTAGATCCCGGTTGTGCTAGGAGCTGTGCATTCACATAATAGGCTACGTGTCCCTGCCCTGAAGGACTAACAGTGTTCAAGTATTATCTGTATATTATGGGTGAGGAACAGGCACAAAGAAATCGATTGACTGACTTGCCTGGCAAAGCCAGGAACTGAAGCCCCATCTTCAGTCTTCATACACTGTTTTAAACACTGAACCATCTTTCCTCCACTGAAATGTCAGCTCCCATTTTGTTCAAAACCAGCAAGAATGTAAATGTCCATCTCTTCCTTCAGCGAAGAGGGATTTCAGTAAAAGTCCTTGAATGAAATTCCCTTCAGTCCACTGTATCCACTTCACATTCAGAAGCGAACTCAAGAAAAAATGTTCATCTTAGTGTTATGATTCAGTTCATATACAAAAGAAATTTGAACAGAAGTCACTTGAAATGATTGTGGGCTCAGAGGCTGGATATGTTTTCAAGTAAGGATAGAAAATGTGGTACTCACAGTATACTGGTTTTATCTCTGAATGTATGCTTTTTAATATAGATCAGAAACAGAAGGTAGTTGTTCGTATTCTCCCTCTAGGACCCCCAAGACCTGAGCCTCATACAGAGAAAAGAAGCTTACTGCAGTGTGTGCACATTATTTAAATAGTGTGTTACCGTAACATTTTGGGTTAGTTGAAACAAAAAAAAAATAGTGGATACTAGAGAGATGGCTGTAATCCAGGTCTATATTTCCTGCAGTGAAACACTGATTTCAGTTTAGAAAATGCTTTACTGGACTCAGTGCAAGTGTCCGCATATTTTCATTTGGTGGTGGTGAAGGCATATTGGATTTAAACATGCCAGGACATTCCTAGAGGCTTGTTTATTTCGATTAGTGGGTCTTTTGGGTTTTTTTGTTTCTTTTTAATATCTTTTGACCTTGGACGGTCTTTTGGGTTTTTTTGTTTCTTTTTAATTACTTTTGCCCTTGGCCAGCCATTAAACGCATAGCAAATATCATGGTGTTTTGGTTTTAAAGGCTGTTTTCACAAGTTGTAATTAATGTTGGGAAGTATATGATGATTGTATGTATAATTATGGCAGTTTAGAATCTGGATGTGTTGTCATCCCTTTCTACATGCTTTGTGAAAACATCAAATCTCATCCTGAATGCAGTTTTTCGTACTTTGCAAACTTGTATCTAGTGTATTCTTCCTTTGCAAGAGTTCACGGTTCATGAGCTTTACATACATCTCTTTTTTACTAAATCAGTAGATTATACATAATTTTAAAATACGTCCACTATCTTACCAGTTCCTCACCAAAATGTAAGTGTTTAAGTTTTACCCCAGAGCAGTGTAACCATATTTTTATGGTAAGGGGCTGCGTTTCTGTGTAGTGACTTGAACTTAAGTGTTAAACATTACGCGATCTCAAGATTTCTCCCATTGTGCAGGATTTTTTTATAACTGAACTGTTATCCATTAAAATTAGTCCTGCAGTGGAGTTGGATTTTAAATTAAAGGCTGTTTTCACTAAGCATTTTCTGCTTAGGTGGATAGTCGCATCCTTAATTCCCATCTCCCACCATCACCCCAGTAACACCAAGTATATTGAGCTTATGTCCTGAATTGAAGTGCAGCCCATGTCTGCAGTCGACATAAAAATGACCTCATCGTTTGGTGGCAAAACAGAGCTGGCAATGCCAACGGTGC